AAAAAAGTAAATCATAAGCAAATTTATAGCAATTTTCCAGGCAAATTTGCCTGGAATTGCCTACAGTTTAAGGAATAACTTAATAATTTATAACTAGTTATAAAAATTACTGTATATATAAATTATTTAATATAATAAATGTAAATTAAACTATAAAATTAATTTGAGTTATAAGTTTTGAATTATTTAAATTAAGCCTAATTTTAATATTTAGATTCAATTTTTTTTTTTTACATTGCATTAATAAATAAATTTCAAATCAAAATATTTAGCTATTAAATACTTTAGTTTGGTTTTAGATTCAAACTAAAATTTCAAATTTAATCAATTTCAGTTTAATTTTAAATCAAACTAAGTTTTTTAATTCAAATTAGAACACTAGATAAGAGGCTATCTAAAGTAAATATAAAGAAACCTCTCTAAATACACTCTATAAATGCACCCTCTATGTAAAATCTTTTTAAATACATAGTACAGTTTGGTCCTAGCTTATAATAGCACTATATATTTTGCTTTTTATAAATGCATGCCCACATTTTTGAAAATTTTTACTATAGTCCTGAGAGGGGTGATCTCGCTGTAATATCTATAAGTTATTTTCTTGCTTACTTATGAAAAGCTTTTGTATTATATACAATTGTGCCAACAGGTGTAATGGGTAAAAAAATGGTGGTGTTTTGTTATCTCTGGCCCTTTTCTTTCTATTTTGCCAAAAGATGTTGCTATTTTGTTTGTTTAGTGTGTATATACACTGGAGCTCCGATAGCTAATTTGTTTTGTTTGCAATTTCCTATGTTTTAGTAATGTGCAGAAAAGAGTTTTTTATATTTGTAAAATTTATATTTACTAAATAAAGTTTTTAAAATTAAATAAATAACAATAATTATAAAAGTTAGTTACTAAAAGTGTAATGTAAAAGCAAATTATATAGTTCTAATTAGAACTATAGATCTGAGTCGATATATACTTAATGGGATGTATTATAGTATGCCATTATACAAAAATTAATAAAGTTACTACAGCAAAACGTTAGCTCTAAAAAAAAAAAATAAATAAAATCCATGCGCAGACTGTCATTGACTTTACCAATTTGCTCATTTATTTACATTTTGTTATTTAAAACGAAAATTTCTTCTTATATCGTCCCATTATCATTGTAAACCTTGAAATATGCTGCGATATACTAATATAGTTCCATTATAGACTACTCGTAACAATTTGCAGTAAATTTGCCTGCAAAAGTGCAAAAGATACATACGATTAGATTAATCCCATATATACTAAAAAAATTTTTTGATTTCAATCTATTAAACCATTGATTCTTTTTCGTCTTTGTTTTCTAAATCTTCTTTTTCTAATAAATAATCAATATCACCAATTCGCCAGTTCCAATTTATTGATATATCGTTATTGTTGTCTGTCATTTTACTCGAACTAATCTTTTCCGTAGGTTCAAAGTATGGACTCTCAAATCGAAATAATATAATTCTTCTAGTTTTATCATGAACTAATATCTCATTTTTTGCTGATTTCAACGTGTACATAACGTCCGCATCTACTTCTATGTCTACTTTAAAATTAATAACTGATACAAAACTCTTTGCAGCAGAAAATGAAATTCGAGATCTTCGTTCAAAATTGGACATTTCATTCGAAATTTTCGGAAGTGCTATTTTGGATGTCATCCATTGAATAATATTGTAATCACGATTTGTTATTACCTTTTTAGGAGCAATTGTGAACCAAATATCTCGAATTCCCAAACCATAAATTTTAAGCAGTTCAATATTTATTGTGGATTTCTCTTTTTCTATTTTTTCAAATTCGGAAATGTAACGATCGTATAACCTTGACGTAAACATTTGTTCTAATTGTTCTCGGTCCGTTGGGCTTGATAGCGCGTCACAAACCTGATATATGGCGAATGTTACTAATGATTTTAAGCAAACGATTAGGTTTTGGACATTATATTATTTTAATCTTTTCGAATCGAAAGAAATCAGAAAAAATGTGTCATTTCCACATAAATTATTCTCGGACTGGGGCGACAGCTTAATCATCATATGTGTGTTTTTGTTTTTTTTTGTCTAAATTCTGATAATAACGATAATACTTACCGCCTATTATGAATTCTTTTGGAAAATATGCAGGTGATGTAGAATCCTTCAACAAACGAAAACCGAACAATTTACAAAGTTCATGCTGCATAAATGTTGGCAGCAGCGACAACAGTGAAAATATTATATCGCTTCTTGTATCTGCCATAGGATATGGATAATGCTTTATCCGTGGCGGCTGGTCACCGTAAATCCATGCTTTAAAAGATAATAAGCTATTAATATTTAACATATGAAGAAACTTTACTCCAAATAAATAGATAAATAGGCAACGTTCGCTATCGGTACATACGAAAAGTTATTGAAGAGCCTGTCTTATCAGGGGGTGGTAACGAATCTATGGGATTATTGACGCCAGCTGGTTCCGGTGGTGGAGTAGGTAAAGGATCTGTCGGTGGTTCTGGTGAAAGTGAACTTTGCGACGTTTTTGGCTTAAATACGGTAGAATAATATGAAGCAAAAGGTCTTTTAACTTTAGTTAAAGCATTAAGTTCTATATAATTTTGTATTTTAATATTACGGGTTCCTAAAAAAAAAATGTTATGGCTTTTGTGCATATTTTGAAATACTGTACTGTACTAAAAGAAAAAAAATTTATTTTAACGTCGTTAAAATCTAAATGATTATCTGATCGAAAGTGCACTCGTCTGATTGGCTAATATAAATCAATCAGCGTTAGTGTGAAGTTAGGTGATAGTTATCAACTATATATATGCATATATAGATTATATATTTAAATAAAAGTTTAAGCTAAATCTAATCTCTTATTTTTTAATTAAAAAACAAACTACTAAATCAAAAAGTTGACTTTGGTTATTGTATTGCCGTGATGTATTTTATACTGTAACAAACAAAATCTTTAAAGCAACCAGTTAAATAATAATAAATAAATTAGAGCAAATATTTCACACAGCATAATTGATACTTTTCTTGCAATTTATTATTAAAAATCCTAAAGTTTGAAATATTGCATCTTTAATTAATATCAAACCACTTCGAACTGTTTCAACAATATTATCAAATTAAGACTTTCTAGACAATTCGAACTTTAAATAGAATGCGCATATAAAAATATCAAGAATGCCAAAGTCAAAGAAACATTCCCAAATTAATTCATTTTGAACTTTTTCGCAATGCCTTTATCTCAGAATCACGCGCTTCATAAGTACGCTGCAAAAATTCCTGTTTCTCTATATATCTAATAAACAAATAATAACACGTTAATAATCAAAAAAAGAGTAAGGGATATCACGTTATATTGACGCAATTTTTATATTTTGGACCGCCTCCTAGTCTCCATGGGTACTTATTATATCATTTGAGGCCACTCTCAATATAACGTAATTTATGGATAAGCTTGAATACTACATTTTCATACTACATACCCATTCTTATTATGGTATTTGAGTTCATCAACAATTCCTTCTTGGTCTACATAATTTTTCCAGTCTATCTTTGATTTCTCCAAAGTATTTAGTTTTTTTGGTTTTTTACTAAGTGATGCAGCAAGTTGCCCAAGGGTTGATTTTTTTGGTTTACCAAATTTACCACGCCCTGAAATAGCAGATGCTATAGGTGATTTGCTTGTTTTAACAGATGGGGAATTCAATGGTGATGAAGTTTGATTTATTGAAATGTTTTTTTCTTTTGGTGATTCTTGCATGTTATTAGATTGTGTTATGTTGCTATTTTTCGTTTGACTGGTAAGAAAAGCTTTAGCCTCTTCAGAGTCCTCGTATACTTGTTTCTGCACCCTAATGTAGTATTAAAAAAAAATTAATATTGAACTATAATATGTTAAAGGAAGATTCAAAAGTCTGACTAACGTTATTAACTCCCCAGCAAACTCTCGAATTTCTGGTATGGTAATCATTTTGGCCGAATTTGAGTGCTAAGAGGCAGGAATTTTATGATTAATTGTCAAAGTTCAAGATCGAATAAAAAATTTGTTCTATATATAAACCTTTGAAACTGATGTGCTCGGTTCTTGTATATCTTCATTAAACTCTGTCCATAATGCATCAATTTTATCATTACGTTGAGCAATCTCTTGTTCATTTATGTCTGTTTCTTCAATTCTATAAAATAAAATATTTGATAAATTATTATACAGAAAGAAAATAATTTAATCGAAATACCTTAATCTTTTTGTTTTTTTGTCTTCGTTGGCTTCATGATCAATTTTTTTTCTCTTACTCCTAGTCATCACAACTTTATCATTAGAAGACTCCTCGTTTTCATTTTCTTAAAATATTTATGTATTAAAGTTCGAGAAAATGTTAATGATTATGTGCCACAAAAAATGGAGCTTCCAGGTATAAATAATTTACCATCAGGAATAAAGTCAGAATACTCTGATGAATCTGAGCTAAAGTTTTGTTCTTCAAACGTACTCATTACGATATGGTATAATGAACAATTTTTAAAATTCTGAGATTATTGTTAAAATCTTGTCAATGTTTTTTATCATGTGACTAAGTTTTCTCATTCCGAGCATAATCTAAATTATGAAAGCTATTTATTGTATATTCGAATTTGGACTAAACAAAAATATCTAATAAATAACAGGTGCCTCATAATTTTACTAATGTTCCCGGGCCAATTTTAACATAATGCGGGCTTATTTTTTAAAAATTTCAATTATCGTTATGTAATGCAGGCCAAAATTTTGAAGATCCTCAGCCGTTAGCCAATCAATATCAAGGATCTGCCGCGTATTGTTTGTGTGTGTCAGGAAATTTTTTTTTGGTGCAGTTTTGTACGTACAGATTTGCAAAAAAATTAAATAACGATAATAAATCAAATAAATTATAGGTACAGTACTGGTCAGCAAAACGCATCCACTTTTTATTAATAAAAACTTTAAACTATTATAACTTTTTTAAAAAAGTTAAATCAAAAAACCCTTCGACAAATTGATAGATATTTAGCTAAACTATATTTTTGTCGAAGAATTTTTTATTATTTTTTGTTTTAAAGAAGTTATTTCAAACTTTCTCGACTTCTCTCTATACAAACAAAAAGAATGCTCTTACTTGCTAAAAATACCCATAATTAATCCACTTTTCTTTAACTTACATACCCTTAATAACATAATACAAAAAGTTAGTGCTTCAAATACTGAATGTACATTTAATTCTTTTCCACTTCTTCACACTATTGGCATTGCATGTATTAAATTCTAGCTTTTCAAAACCTGGTCATTCAATCTATTGAATGAAATACTTCTTCATCACTATCGTAAAACACAAAACTACACTCTCCTTTTTCATCTCTCACAACTAGCTAAAA